TCAGTCAGCACCTTCGCCATCTTTCAGACTGATCTTACCAAAAACACCTGCAAAAAAAAGGAAAAGGAAAACGCAATCATGCAGGGTCGCTTTCGTGTAAATCGTGTAATCGAATGACATATAATAATAGGCAAATTTTAATTGTTCACGCTAAAATATCGAACTGCTATCGCTAATATCTCACTGGACTATCGAGAAACGTGCGTCAAATTCATGAATTGTTATCGCTAATCAAAATCTCGGGGCTACCACCAAAAAGTTAGGGGTATCGCTAAACAATAACAGTCGCTATCGCTGGCTATCGCTAATAGTCCATTGCTATAGCTACCGCTACAACATTCAGCTCTGGCGTAAAGATCTCAAGCTAACGCTGAGATCTCAGGGCTATTGACAAAATGGTCGGTATAAGAGAAAGCGAACAGAAGGGAGTTGCTCTTTGCACATTTGCTAGAGAAGAAAGGCTGCGAAATCAAATGCTTCTGGAACTGCTTGGGCCAGAATAACTGCTCACAGATCTTCCATTCTGCCTCTACATTCTACTGAGTTCGCAGGTAATTATCACGTCGCTCTGAGCTTGCTTGATCTGGGTCCCCGCGGATGAATCTAATTTAAAGTGAATGCAATGTTTTTCTTTATCAAATAATCACCTCAAGAAAAGTATTTTTACTCTAACGTTTCTTCTTAGTGATGTAAATTGCTATCATGTGTTCTTTGGAATCTCAGCCAACGTTCTCTACATTTTTATTTCTTCAATCAGTTAGTTTTTTTCATGGAGAATTCAGGGCATGCTTTACGAAATATTCAGCACAAACTCACAAAATAAAATGAATTGGAGATTCGTTCTCCTCTCTTCTCTGTAAAGAGAAGAATAACACTGCAGATAATGGGACTAACAAAACAATGTCTCCCGTTACAGAATTTTGCATCAGAATGCGTTGTCACAAACATAAATTGTACATCTTTTGATTGAAAATACTTAACACTTAACAATATCCAAAAATGTCGTCAATTACGAACCTTTGAATGTCACATCATCTCCAATCAGCATAAACGGCGCCCACTGCTCAACGTCAGAGAAGCGATTCTCTCTCATCCATTTCATGGCCTGGTGAAGAGATTCACTTGCACTTTCACCACGAACAAGGTGCTCGTAAAAATGATTCATAAACTGCATGGTAGCTTTGTCCTCTACAGCCCACAGTGTTGCCAGCACGGAGCGTGCACCCGATGCTAGAAATGCTCGAGCAATTCCAACGACTCCCTCAGCTCTCACTTGGCCACGAGCACTATGACAACAACTAAGGACAACCAGCTTGGCAGTCAGTTGAACTTGTGAAATTTCAGCCATCGTCAGTAAATAGTCCTCTTCGTGCGGGGTTCCGCACGAGCTCATAGGGGAAAGAGCAATTTCTCCACGTTCCTCATAACCATGAGCAGCAAAGTGAATGAGACTTACGGAATGCATTCTTTCCAAGACTGCTTGCTTAGTAGCATCTTTTCCCAATAATGGCTCAACGCCGAGCAGTCGCCCAATCATCTCTGCTTCCATTCTTGCCCCAGGCAAGGGACATAATTTCAGACGTTTTCCCCGGTAGTGTACATAACTGACCTCTGGCTCTCCTATGACTATTGCACCGGTTTTACTATGGTAGTCTGATGGACTGTGCTGAATCAACCTTAGAGTCGTCAAGGACGGTACAATACGAATCCTGAAAGTATCCGATAAATATTGTCCATTATCATCCTTTAAAGCTACAAAGGGAATTGGGTACAACAGTGGATCCGGTACGATAATGATTTCTGATTCTTGTAGTAAGTCAGCCACAGGAGCGACGATGATGTTGTAGCAATCAGCAAGGGTAAGCGCCTCAGAGTCGTGCTTTTCGTGTTCCTCTTCTTCTATGAGGCGTAATGTTTCAAAGCTGTCATTCTGGGATGGTTTGCTTGATGGCGAGGAGCTTGAATATGAAGAAAACAATGATCGATCTTCGCATTGGTCTTGACGTAAATCCTGAGGGCCACCAAATCTTTGCCTTTCAAATGCTTTAGCTGCACTTTCTTTCAGTTTCGTTTCTCGGAAAACTATGGTTTTGTTTGGCTTAAGGATCCAAAAATGCATATCATCATAAAAACAGGATAAGTATAAACAGGAACTAAGGGAATTTTTGCTCATGATATTCTCAACACCAACCCCTGACTGTGGGTTCACTGATAGCTCTTTTTCCACAGAGTACTTATCTGACAGTATGTCTGCAAGTGCTCTGGACCGTCCAAGCTCGGCAACGTAAAGAGCTTCACAATAACTGCCTCTAGCAGTCAACAACCTACAAAGAAGAAGGTAAGGGAACACATGCTGATTAAAAAAAGAAATTTTGAATTGATCTTTCACTCTGAAAAAATCAAACATTTCTTCGCACTTTTGAATGCTTTCATAGAGATTTCGCACCACAAGTTCATTTATGCTTCCTCCTGCCACTAATGCGTTCAGGGCAACGGTGAGGTGGCTGTTAAACTGCAAGTCAATGTCTCCTATTTCGTAACTTATCTCAAGTGCTTTATTAGCAAATTCTTGACTCTTTGCAAAAAGCTGAAGTTCTCGACAAAGGTTTCCCAGATTTAAGTATGAAACTCCAACACCACCTTTGTCTCCGATTTCTTCATAGATCGTCAGTGCTTTTTGAAGGTATTCTTCAGCCTTGGTATATTGACCAACAGATTGGAACATAGTTCCTAGATTTCCGTAAACTGCTGCTTCTCCTTCTTTGTCACCGATTTCTTTGCTGATCACTAGAGCTTTTTGAAGGTATTCCTCTGCCCTGGTATATTGACCAACAGATTGGAACACAACTCCTAGATTTTCGTAATCTGATGCTGCTCCTTTTTTGTCATCGATTTCTTTCCTGATCACTAGTGCTTTATGAAGATATTCTTTCGCCTTGTCAAATTGACTAACAGATCGGAAGACAGTTCCCAGAAATCCGTAAGCTGATGCTTCTCCTTCTTTGTCACCGATTTCTTTCCTGATCACTAGTGCTTTCTGGAGGTATTCTTCAGCTTTGGTATATTGACCAACAGATTTAAACACAGTTCCTAGATTTCCGTAATCTGATGCCTCTCCGTGTTTGTCGCCTATTTCTTTCCTGATCACTAGTGCTTTCTGAAGGAATTCTTCAGCTTTGGTATATTGACCAACAGATTCAAACACAATTCCCAAATTTCCGTAAGCAGATGCTTCTCCTTGTTTGTCACCGATTTCTTTGTTGATCACTAGTGCTTTTTGAAGGTATTCTTCAGCCTTGGTATATTGACCAACAGATTGAAACACATTTCCTAGATTTCTGCAATCTGCTGCTTCTCCTTGTTTGTCACCGATTTCTTTCCTGATCACGAGTGCTTTCTGAAGGTATTCTTCAGCTTTTGTATATTGACAAAAAAATTTAGCCACAGTTCCTAAATTTCCGTAATCTGCTGCTTCTCCTTTTTTGTCACCGATTTCTTTCCTGATCACTAGCGCTTTTTGAACGTATTTTTGAGCCTTGGTATATTGAGCAACAGATTGCAACACAGTTCCTAGATTTCCGTAATCTGATGCCTCTCCGTGTTTGTCACCGATTTCTTTCCTGATCACTAGCGCTTTTTGAAGGTATTCCTCTGCCTTGGTATATTGACCTACAGATTGGAACAGAGTTCCCAGATTTCCGTAATCTGCTGCTTCTCCTTGTTTGTCACCGATTTCTTTCCTGATCACTAGAGCTTTTTGAAGGTATTTTTCAGCCTTGGTATATTGACCAACATATTGAAACACAGTTCCTAGACATCCGTAAGCAGATGCTTCTCCTTGTTTGTCACCGATTTCTCTCTTGATCACTAGTGCTTTTTGAAGGTATTCTTCAGCCTTAGTATATTGACCAACAGATTGCAACACATTTCCTAGATTTCCGTAATTTGATGCTTCTCCTGCTTTGTCACCGATTTCTTTGCAGATCACTAGAGCTTTTTGAAGGTATTCTTCTGCCTTGGTATATTGACCAACAGATCGGAACATAGATCCTAGATGTCCGTAATCTGCTGCTTCTCCTTCTTTGTCACCGATTTCTTTGTTGATCACTAGTGCTTTTTGAAGGTATTCTTCAGCCTTAGTATATTGACCAACAGATTGGAACACAGTTCCCAGATTTCCGTAATCTGCTGCTTCTCCTTCTCTGTCACCGATTTCTTTGTTGATCGCTAGTGCTTTCTGAAGGTATTCTTCAGCCTTGGTATACTGACCAACACATTTGAACATAGCTCCTAGCTTTCCGTAAGCAGATGCTTCTCCTTCTCTGTCACCGATTTCTTTGTTGATCACGAGTGCTTTCTGAAGGTATTCTTCAGCCTTGGTATATTGATCAACAGATAGAAAAACAGTTCCTAGATTTCCGTAACATATTCCAACTCCCTGATTGTTCCCAGTCTCAATCATGATGCTGAGTGCCTTCTCTATAAACTGTTTTGCTTCCTCGTACTTGCTTCTTTTACAGTAGATGCTCGCTAGCACAAGTAATATTATCCCTTCTTGTTCTTTGTGGCCACTATTGTGTAGCGTCACGTAAAGTTTTTTACCACATTCTATCGCACGGTTGTGATCGTACATAAGAGTATAGCCATGAAGAAGTTTACGGTATACGTAGATAACTCGTGGTGTGGTAAGTTCTTTGATCGTGTCTAGGGATTTGCTGTTAAGGAGCGCCAAACATTCGTTAAAGATGTATACTGCTTTTATAAGACGTCCAGTGTTGAAAAGGAAAGTTGCAACGACTTCACCAATATGAATGGTCTGTAGAATATTTAAGATGTTGTCCATGAAGCTTTTTTCTTAACCTTGTGAAAAAAAACATTGAAAGTAAGAAAGTGGAAACAAGATTCTTAGGGAAGATAATCATTAAAAACTTTAACGTGAGATTTACTGAGGTAGGTCACGTTTGATAAATAGAAGTTCTTTAAAGTTGTTCTTCTTGTGTTGCGAACTGTATTCGTCGTAGTTCTGATTACTCAGTTTCTTGCAGTAAAGCTTTGGGCAAGAATACCTTTGCAGATAGGAGATAGTCCGTCGGCACTCTTCTTCTATTTGTGCGTCAACTTTCACAAATGTGTTAGCGTTGCATTTTAAGGTCAAAGTTGACCAGCATTTTGTGCAGTGAGTTCTGCGGTCACGATTGACTCCAAACTTGCAGATATAAAACTAGAGAGCTCCGAGGCTTATTTGCTGAAGTAAGAGAAAAATCTGTGGTAAGGTTTCGAAGTTAATACATTTTTCGTAAAAATGGGGTTTTAAACATATGCCGATTTCTCAAACGTTTTTATACCTACAAGAAAATTAATAACATTTTCTTAAAGTTGAATTATTATTAATTAAGGGTGCCAAAACTCATAGAAATCGGTTAAACCGTTCTTGCCGAAAAAAACGATTCAAAAACATAACCAACGCGCATATAAATAGGTTCGCGCCACCTTAAAAAGATTCTGCTTCAACCACATACTGCGGTAAATTATTCCATTCTTTTACTATGGGAATAAAGAATGAATATTTATAGGGGTTAACCCCTGCATTTTTCACGACTAATTTAAAAAGAGTGGTTAGCTCGTGTCCTGTTATCTAGAGTGGGTTCGAAAAACTTCAGGTTATTTATGCGAAAAACAATTGTATCGCATTCAATAAGTGAAATGAAGGTGTCTTCGCTTCTCTAAGGTGGGTCAGTTCAAAATTTTGATTCTTTCCTCATACTCCATTTCCCCTGCACGCTTTTATCCAAGCGCAAGGCGATCGAGATGCCACAGTCCTCTCGACCTTTTCAATTGCTGGGATGTCTTTTACTAGGTATGGACACCACACTGGGGTTGCATATTCAACGATAGGTCGTACTAATATATATATTGGAACTGGGGAATGAAGAAATAACTATTAAGGTGACTCGACCCAGTTTTTTTTGGGGGGGGTACCATCCTACTTTGAAGCCCTCCGGTATCTTATCGTAAGTCTAACATATAGAATGGAGAGATATGACAATTTTGGTACAGTGAGACAGGTCATCGCATGATACATAGAGGTTTAACTCACAATTTTTAATCAATTCTCGTGCTTCTTGTGCCTTTGCAAGAAAAACAAGAAGTGCTACACACTAAATCTACTTACTATTTAAAAAATATCATTCTTTCATAGGTTTAATGCAAGCCAATAATTAAACGAACTCGTGACGGGAATCCCCTCTATTTTCTCATACTAAATCATCATATCTCGGTGAGCATTCGGAAGTCAGCCAAGCGCGGTCATTGCACGCGTGCTGAACAAGAATGCTGTATAATAACAGACTAGAAACAATAGACAACTCCCAAAGCACAAACTCAGTCAAAACGCTAAAAATCTTCAATGTTAACTCAAGTTTGGGCTTATAGAAGATAAAGTCACAGTTTTTCAATGACCATAAAATTCAGAGTCCGGGTAGTTAGTTAATCAATTGTGGCCCTGAAAAAATTTGAAGGAAAAAAAACTACGAATTTTTAAGAAAATGTTTTTTTTTTTTGTGAGAAAGACTCTTTAACGCTGACAAACGTCAACAAATAGCTAAAACTATAATTTGTATATGTTTGCTTTGCTCGAAATCGCTCGCATTTACAAGGCCCTAAAGCTTTTCGCTGACTTGCAAGGACCCATCTGTTATAACGATCCCCAAAATAAAGGGATAAGTCTCATAGTTTATTGGATATAATCGTGTAAAGTTTACTTATCATTTTCGCATAAATTATGACCTAAATTTGGAAACCGCTGAATTTCTCGAATTCGGTCTTTGCGATTTTGGTGAAACTCTGTTCAGCGCAAGGCAGTAATGCGCACTATGTGTAGCCGAGAGATTTTCACGAAAAAATGCCGGCAACAGCAGATTTTCGACTCAGACCTCAAAGGGGCGTGGCATTATAACCACGTGACATTTACTCCGATCGCCAAAAATTTTATGTTATATTGTAGATTGATCTATATGTTATCCATTCTATGTGTTAGACTTACGATAAAAGTAAAGGTGGGGATACCAGAGAGCTTCAAAGTAGGATGGTACCCCCCCCAAAAAACTGGGTCGAGTCACCTTAAGTAGAGATTCTGATGTTCCAATCTATGAAATTCAATTATTATATAAACACCGATGAAATACCAGGTGAGCTTTCGCGCGACAATATTATTAAACATCTTCACACGTGAAAAGATCAGCATTGTTATATGGTTACATAATAAATCGCGCCTTTCGCAGCGGCGCGTTTGACGTAACTTCAGAATGGCGGACGATTTACCTAACAGTACTAGGAGTAATCGGAGCTTAGAAGAGTGCGTTCGATATGTTTGTAAGGCGTACAGGTAGCAGTTGAGGAGGGAGGGTGGATGGTTATTCCGATAGATTAAGCCCGGTTTCCATATGATCGCTACGATCGCTGTGATCGCTGCAATCACTGAGAAAAAAAAAGTTCAGCGATCATACGGAAACCACTCTCTAGCGATCGCAGCGACAACGATCGCTGAGATAGAACGTTTTATATCTCAGCGATTGTTGTCGCTGCGATCGCTGAAGAGTGGTTTCATATGATCGCTGCGATCACAGTGATGGTGTAGCGATCATCATGGAAACCGGGCTTTAATCATGGCATATTTTAAACGTAAGGATTGCTTACAGCGAAACCTCTATTTAAACTGTGTATAATGAGGAAAAAGCCTTGAAGGCTAGAGATATCGTATGGTCCGTCTCACTAAGAGCAGTGGTTTGGTCGAGTGTGTTGATTTCAGTGACTTGAGTGGAGCTACTGTGGGCTGTTTATAAGTTTTTCCGAATAAATAACATAGACCTAAAATGTTCGTTTGTCCGGTGCCGAAAATATCACAAGTCATGATGAAACGGCGCCGCCGAGCTTCACAACTCTGTAGATTTACTTTGTGGCACAACGGCCGCCGAGCTACAGATCTCGGTAGATTTACTTTGGGGCACAACGGCCGCCGACACTTTTGAAAGATGAACGTTTTGAAAGATTCAGCAAACACAGATCGATAGTAGACCTTCAGCAAACTCTTGAAATATGTAAGCTTTGCGAAGATTCAGCAAACTTTTAAAATACGAACGCTTTTCGCTTGAGGACGCACGAATCACCACGTGAGTTAGTTCGTCAAAGTGAGGCAAAACGTAAGCAAGCGCCTCAAAGCGAGGCAAAATTAATTAATTAATGTGTGTCGACGACGACGACAAATGCAATCTCGAAAAAACCTCCCTTATTAATTGCACAGGGAACCCAATAATGCACAGAACACCCAACACAAATTAGGGGTTGCGTTCTCGTACCTTGAACGCAACAATACAATACAATACAATACAATAACTTTTATATTTTCAACACAACGGTGATTAAAGCGTTGCCGCTTATGGGGTCGTGCATTTAAGCCAACTAAAACTTAAGCAGTAAAAGTATATTAAAAGTCATCGCTATTATTGTGAGGCATTGTTTGCGGAAATTCAGCCCGAGAATCTAAATTACGTAGGTTGTCAGATTTAGAGGCCATTCTAGTGCAATTTTGAACGTTGGATGTCTTTGCAAGGTCATGACTAAGAAGGTTCCACACAATAAATGCTCTCTGTGTGCTATTGAATTTTTCATGAAATATGTGTTAAAACGTGGCAATATTACCTTATTCTTAGTTCGTAAGTGATGCGTTGGAGAAGTCTTCTTGGTTAATATATGCCCCATGGTACATATTTTAAAGTGTAAAGAATCCCATTTGGCTATCTTAATTACTTCTGCGATAAGGTGACAGCTCCCGGAAGCGTGACCGTCCGCCATGTGGTCATCATGACTAGGTTCCTAACTGGAATCTAAATATTCTTGATCCAATGGACGGTAGCCTGTTCACAGACCCTCTTTATTCTGTTGAAAGTCCGTCGAGCGCGTGTGGCCAGCGCAAGGGGGTAGTGGTGGGGGAAGAAGAAAATAGACAATCTGTAGACATCTTTGGGAGCAACTGACCTTGCTTTCTCAGGAAAAGCAAATTACCATTGGCTGAACGGCGATTGTCCTGTCATCATCATGTCAACGACTCATCACGCTCGCGTCATGCGAGTAGAAGCGTTTGTCATTGCCTGGAAGCGCTTACCGCGACACTTACTTAATTGTTATTTGCATATAGAAAACGTCGCCGACTTGTGAACTTGTGTTGACCATTTTGACCATAATTATCTTTTGTAACGGAGTGTAGACTATGGAAAGTGTTTTTGACGACTGTTTGGCACAATTTTCAGGCAAATACGTGCTCAACGAAGAGCAGCGCCAGTCTTTTTTGGGTTTACTGGAGCAAAAGGATGTTGTGGCTGTTCTTCCCACGGTTTTTAGGAAAAGTTTAATTTAGCAGTTGTTCGCGGCAGTGAAACTCAAACAAAGAGAAAATAACTTGGAGTTGTAGTTGCATCACCACTACGAAGGCGAACAAACTCTACTATTTTTCCCGAAACTTTGTGTGCATATAAAGGACAACAACAACTCGCCACATGGAAAGTTTCATCGATTTTTATTTCCATTTTCTAGCAAATTTCCAGACCTAACCTTTGCCCGATATGTTCTCTATCAGTTTACTCGTGTTATATGAAACCGGTACGTGACACAAATTGTGAGCCTGGATTACCTGTGGTCATTGTTGTTTGATTGTAAAATACTTAAGCCAATTACACAAGCCATTTATATCTCCAATTCCATTGGTCCAATTTAATTGGTACTGCGAACGCAGAGGTGATAATGATGAGGCATTGACAGGGGGAGGGACTTAAGAAACCTCTTTTTTCTCAGAGATGCACAGATATCTTTATTTTTCTTTCTTGCACTCCGAGCTCGTTCTCGCGCTCGCTTCGCTCGCCCATATTTTCGAAAAGAACGAAAAGAAAAATAAAAGGCTGTGGCTATATGGCCGGTTACCGGTCAAGGTTTCAAAACACTAAATGACCGGCAAGTCCAATATATTTTTTTAAAATAATTTTGACAAATCGAAGAATCCCAGCGAGACCAAACTATCATACGTCGCTTTAGAATAGACTGAGAAACTTACTTTCTGATCAACAAATGGTGTCAAAGTGTAAGTCTCTTCAATTTCAAAAGAAAAAATATTCACTCGAATATGAGTGGATTCTATCCTAGAGCGTAGGGTCTGCACACTATTACACTCTAACCAATACCCCACCATGGTTTCGCTGCAAGATGGTGATTCAACCCAAAATAGAAGCTAACCGTCAACCCTGATCACCTCTTCTCAGGGCTTAACCCTAATAAGTATGGTTAGTCCTTAACCCTAATTAGTATTTTCAGTTCTTAACCCTAATCAGTATCGCCAGAACCCCAATTGCAATCACTATAGTCAAAATATCGGACTGCCGGTCATTTAGTGTTTTGTAAATCTTGACCGGTTACCGGCCACATAGCCATAGCGAAAATAAAACAACGTCGTTGTACAGGCTAAATGGACGATGATTTTAAATTCCCACTATTCAGGGGCACTCAACGACAATATAGTTCAAAACCACTTAAACATAGCATTGTTGAACGTATTTTAGAATTTAAACGGTAGACTGATAGGCATATTTTTATCCCCTAAAAATTTTTAATCAGTTCGGATTTCCTAGGTGAAAGTCTAGTGATCCGAAAATTATAGGGATCAAAAGTTACCTTTTCGAAAATGTCAGCCAGAATAAAGGCTCCCGAAACTTCTAGGCCGTGACCTTTTTACGGTAAAACTGCGTTAAAAATGGGCAATTATACCATGCTTGGGAGGTTAGAAAATTCTACGTGCAAACAAGAAATTTAACAACAAATGTTCCGAAAAATTCTAGATCCCAAATCGTCTTCCGAACAGATATTTTCCAAAAATGGTCGTTGGGTGCCCCTGACTATTATATTGATGTGACAAAAGATGATGTTGACGAGCTTATTGTTCTTATTGTTGGAAGAAGCAAATATTACCTAGAAATCTCTAAAACTTGGGAAAGGCTAGTCTGTTCTTCTCTTTTAAGATCGTCGAGCGCGCGTATGAAAATAGAAATGGGGGGTTTTATTGACCGCAAGCGAACATTGGGAATTTTTCTTGGTATTGAGGGGAAGTCAAATTACTCACCTTCCTCCGAGGAAGTTTGTGGCGCCTGAGCTTCGGCCATGAAACCCTCAACGGCTGTTTCGCTCTGCAAGGTTACTGACCCCAGCAATCGAATGTAGCGGTGCCAAGATGTATTATAACACTTCAGGTCTGAAAACCTAATTCCACCAATATTAACCCTAAAAAACGGACGACATTTGGAACTGTTTTGCTTTCCAAGAAAGTGAAGAGAACTGACATGCTTTCAATACAAACATTAGCAAAAAACGGAAATGATTTAAGTTTACGACATTATATGTATGTTACACTACTAAGAGCTTACCAGGAAATCCATCTCTAGTCTAGGAGTACAGTGAAGTACGGTAAAGCTTTAGGCCTCCCCTCATTTAAAAATCAAAGCCTCGTATGATATTTGAAGAATATACATGCCACAAACAAACTTCATTTCAGTTTTTTTTTTAATATTGTTCGTATGAGAGGATGTTAGTTCCTTTTACTTTCTTAAAAAGCGAAACAGTTTAAACTTTTGTTCGTTTTGCGTCCTTAAATATTGACGAAATGACTCTTTTCCAAAAAAGGATTTTACTAAGGTAATGTATTGACTAGTTTGAGACAAATGTCATGACAGAGGTGGATACGATCTTCATATCATCATTTTATAAAATAATCTAGCCGAGTAAAATAATACTGTAATACTGTTAAGCTGCATGTTGATATTTTGTCATTCATATCTGTCAGTGGATCATGGAGTTTTTTTAAATACCTTGGTACTGTTCAGGAGACAAAAACAGAACAGAGAATTTTTTTTATTCAGGCACCGACAGTTTTAAAATCCGGAACAATCCGTCGGTTGATTATATTATACAGATATATCCTGCAGATAGTGGAATGACTCGTTTTAGACTATTCGTTATTGGTTCCTCATCTCGACAATAAAAATGTACACATTATTAAAGGTATTTATATCAGACATTTTGAAAATCGGTTCTAACTATTCGGCATCCAATTTTGAATTTGTTATTTGTTTAAAAACTTCTGTTTCTTGGAATACAGGAAAGTCACGAATTTTTCCACATCGGATAAAGGCACGAATTCAAAGGGCGGCCGGCTTTGGTTTATAAAAAATATGCTCATCTTTGGCTTACCTTTTTAATTTCATATATCTTACTTGAGATTTTAAATCTTCGCACTAAGTTTCCTGGATTGCGAGTGTGTATAATAGACTCGTAAAACTGGACCTCGATTGCTAGGGATCGGTTGTTGTGTGATTTCAAAAGTTCGAAGCAACTCTTAGAAGAGCTCATACAATCAAATCGTTTTCCTTAACGAAATGGATTCCTTTATATAGAAAAGCTTTTAA